GTCCAGCTTCCGGTGAGTTGAGTATATCGCTATAAGCTTTCTGCAGTAGTTTGTAGCGAGTTCAACCGGGAAAGTGACTTGGAAAAGGTTCATGCGGAAGATTTGCGGTTGCGCATGTCGTGCAGACTGCTGGTCGCGAAGACGGCTTCATCTCCGTTCCATCCGGTAAGAGTAAACCATTTTTGTCAAGAACTGAAGCTCGGATTGTATGATTAAGAATCCCCGGTGAAGGATGTCCTAACCTTTGATGCCAAATATTTTCGATTGCTTTGTATTGTGTTGATCGCAGATAAAAATCGGCGTTAATATAAAAAGAAGAAACGATGAAAGGAGATATTGCTGGTGATTCGTTGAGTTCGCCAGGTACGAAGCGAATTAAAGGTAACTTGGTGGTTGTAACTTCCACTTTGAGTACTTCTTCCGGTTGAAGAACTAATTCCCCTTCCTCAATTTCTGTTTCTACTGCAGGCTGATCGACGAGAATCCCTGTTGCTGCTTCACCTCTACTCTGCTGCTTTGCTTCCTCTGCTTCACTGCTGCTGCTAGGTCCCAAAGGCCTTGTAGGTTTGTTTTCAAGTTGTTGTAAAGTGTTGTAATAGTTTCTCCATGCTGACGTGCCTTCCTCGGCTGTGTTTGTTGGCTAGGAATCAAGAGTCGTGATAACTACGGCTGCTGTACGAGATCGTGTTGGAACTGCTGTTGCATGGAAGTCAATGTCAACGTTTTGGAAGTCAGTTTCTTCTGGATGTTGCCAAGGTCCAAGAGATAACACTCTTTCAGAAGATCCAGTAGTTCCTTGCGACTCGAATTGAAGAACGGAGACCCCATACTAAGTGGCGGCTCTCCCGATGTAAGTATTAGAATCATTATGATAAAGTTCCTGGTCCATTGTCTCACAGTTGCCTTGTGTTCGTATCTTATATCGCAGGAGTTGAGCCGTTGAAAGAAGATTAAAGCCAAGTCCCTCGATAATAAGAACATTGGTAGTGTGTAATGAAAATCTTGTGTCCATTGAATCCAGCATGACGCTGCCAATGGATCTTGCCATTATCGTTTGTCAATTTGCGACTGTGACAGGTACTGGACGACGAAGCGGACGTTGATGAGTAATGAAGAGCACATGTGTTGTCCACAGCAACTGTCAAGATACCAAGTGTTCGGTCCTGCAATAATTCGAGCAAGGTTAGCGTATACTTAAGGTAAAACCATGTTCTCAGGTTGCTCGTTGAAGTTTTCGTCGTCGTCATCGTCGAAATCTGAATTTGTTTCATCAAGTGTTGTAACGCAGCTAAAACCTTGTTTCCCTGATGTTGCAGGTGTTGTTGTCGGTGGATTCTGCTTCACAGGTTGCCTTGACTGCGATGACTGCTGCTGTCCCCCTCTTTTCCTATCAGCTTGAAGCTTGTTGCAAAAAAAATTACTGTGTCCATCCTTTTTGCAGTAGTGGCACAAGTATGTGTTGACGCGTTTCGTAGGTGTTGTATAAAAATCGATGTCGACTGCTCCTTTCTTATTACGTGCTGTTTGCAGCTCAAGATCTTGCTGCTTTGCTTGAAGAATGGAGCAGATTTCTGCTTCCGAAAGATTTGGTTGAAGACGAAGAAGGGATCGAAACTGCCGCCGTTCTGCTCCAAGACCAGCAAGAAGGACTATTATAAACATGTCCTTTGGGAAGTATCCGCCGCACTTTTCCAATTGGTCACGATGTGTTAGAGCCCTGTTAATGTAATCCGAAACGTTCTCGTTGCCCTGCATCTGTACAGTTGTCAGTTGTGAGAGAATTTTACTAACGAAAATTGTGTCCTGTGCCATATACAGCCCCTTCAAATGCGTCCACGCAGATTCAGCTGGAGTCAAACTGGTGTGAAGCAAGCGTATACCGAGCTGTTCTTTCAGCGACAGATTGCGGATAAGGACGGTGTAAGCGCTGAGTGATGCATGAAGAAAACTTTGGTGTTCCATCTGTGTCCCCGTAACAGGATAAGAATAATCGCCACTGATGAACGGCCACAATCCCGCGGATTTCGTGAGAAGCTCGAACTCGAAATTCCATGCGTAGAAGTCGATGCTTTTAAAAGGTATGGTTGTCTTGATCTGTGTAATGCTTAAAAGAGTCGGGGCCTGAAAAACAAAACTAGTGAATGCAATCTGCTGCTACGAAAATTGCTGTTGAGGTTGCTGTTGCTACTGTTGTTGCTGAAAATGTTGTTGTGCTTGATGCTGTTGTTGAAGAAATTGAAATTGTTCATGTTGAGCAGGTTTAAACGAAAACGAAGAACTGGAGCTTGGAGCGGCTGCAGCTGTTGCATAGCTGGAGCCATCGATACTCATTCCACTAAAAGCTGCTGATATTGATGCTGCTGCTTGTTGCTGTTGTGTTGCAAGTGCAAAGGACGAAGTCCCCGGTGGATGCACAGTAGGCAATCCTTGCTGCTGTTGTGGCATCCCAATTGAAGAATAAGCATTTGGAAAGTTTACAGCTGTAGAAGTACCTGTTTGACCAGTAATGAATGTAGGATTTGTAACACCCGTGGCGTGGGTCCAGTTGTTGAAGAAGCAGACGTTGTTGATGGTGATGGTCCAGTCATAATTGACGATAGTCTTAATTCCAGACAGCTCTCATACCATGGAAGAATTCGACAAGTGGTGCAGGAGACTAAGTATAGAATCTGCAGACACAAGTACCGTAATTCCCCCAGATATAGGGCGCATATGTGCTTATAGGGATTAGGTTCAAAAAGCAGCATGCGCTTGTAATCGAATAAAAAATATAAGCCTATGCACTAATACGAAGGAGTATATGGAAAAATGATTTGAACACACCAAAATGTAGCTGTGTTAAGTTGGGTTCCAATACAACTGTCTTCAAAAGGGGACGCGCAGAAATATCGCACGTAATCTCTGGCGAAAGTTTCGCCAGCACAACTATGCTGAGAAGGCAGGGTATGGACCAATCATAGGCAAGACAGTGATCGGGAAACGCATGAATCTGGCTGGCGAGGTGCTTGGGAGGTGTGCGAGAGTGCTGCGGGAGATTTGGCACATAGTTTCGATATGGAAGTTTCGCAAATCACATGTTTTTTAATAGTAATTCAATGCGCTTATAGGGAATATATTTTCTTAAAAAAGGGTATGCTTATAACGAAATAATGGCTATAGGCACGATTGCACTCTATAAGCCCACTGTGCTTAATAAATGGCTGCGCCTATATCCGGGAGACTACGGTACTTGAATTAGAAAGTAATACCGTATTCCCCCGGATAAAACACCCGCTGGAATTAATCACCCATGGGTGGTTTGGGCGGACCTGGGTGCTTTATTAAACTGGATATTCATACCACAATAGTTTTTGGCATGAAACCTATACACCACCTCCCTAGTTCATTTTCATTGGATTTCTGTAGATTTTGCCTCTTATTAGAGTGTCTCGTATCAGACTCACGCGTCACTGAGCAGTGCAAGCTCGACGCACAGTGGTTCAATGCGGTGTAGAACTGTTACCGTACCATGCCTGGAATTCCCGTCACTCAGGCGAATGTTGCGAATCTGATCATGTACAAGGCTCATGGGAACACACACAGTCAACACTTTGCAGTGCGGGAGAATCCATATCGGTCGGCCCTGGTTGTGTCGTGAAGGAATCTGCAGCAGATTCCTTTCAGCTTTGGTGCGCTGTCACATTTTAGCGTCGAGGTTGCTACTTGCCACCACGATTTGACACAACGTGACAATCTGTGACGCAGGCAACCTATGACTGTTTGCCTGCAATGTGGCATGACGATGATCCTCCTCACCATATACGCGATCACGTGCAAGAATCGTCAAAATTCTGCACAAAAAAAATGTCTACAACACAGTTCAATTCCAGTTCATAAACACAAAAATGTCATTCCATAGCCCCCGGGCGTTATACAAAAAGTGTCACTAATTACACCCCCACTAAATTTTGCATCAAAATTTAGTGTCACCCGTGGGTGTTTTATCCGGGGGAATACGGTACTGGAAGTACCTCCAGTAAGAGCCAGTATTAACAAGTTGTAACACCAGAGTCTGTGTTATAGCTTTGGGATACTTCAAGACTTAACCAAGGATCTTTGCTGGAATGGTAGACTAGTAAGTGTTGACCAGAATTTACTGAAGAACAAGTTAATATTTGAAGTTGTTGGGCTGGGAAAAAGCCTTTGGACCTTTTCAGAGACTAAGTCCCACTTGTACAAAACGCTTGAGTAGTGCAGCGGAAGTGTTGAGTAGTTGAACCCTTGCACTAGTATGTGAGAGCAAGTGATTGATTAAAAGAAACAAGCATACAGCAATATATAGAAAATAAGAAATGAAGCGGTTGTAGAATACAGTTGAAGGAACAGTTATCGAGTCGCACAGCGACTCGATTGTCTGTTCTGTTACCATCCTTGCAGTCGCAACGGTCAATTGCAACCTCCGGTTGCGACCCTTTGAGTCCCTTCGCCCTTTCGTATTCTTTCATCCAACATCCTCGTGTAACCTCCGTTGACTCACGTACCCGATACGACTTTCCTTGAGTGTAGTGTTACACTTCAGAAACGCTTAAGTCTTCGAGGTATTTCCAACACTCCCCTTCGTTTCTGGAGTGCTGACGTGTCCGGATTTGGTGACGTTTATCTGCCCGATCAGCAGCATGCAGTAATCGAACTTTGCCTTCGCTAGTTTCTTTGTCAGGTAATCTGCAGCCATTTCTGTCGTGGGGCAGTAACTGAGTTGAAGTCTTCCCTTCGCGATCCATCCTTGACGAAGAAATGACGCAGGGCGATGTGCTTGGTTCGATTGGCGAACCCATTTTTGTTCGCGATTTTGATTGCAGATTGGTTCTCGCGGAATAACGAGAAGGCGGGCACGGTCGCAATTTTCGTTTCCTCGAGCAGCTCCTGTTGGTTAGAGAAGGCTATAAGCAGATGATTCAATGGCTCCTTGGAAATTTCTGCAGCACTTCGTTATGACGCCCAGAAAACTCGCGACCTTCGAATAGCTATATCAAAAACTTCAATCGGTGAAACGATCTGAAAATCGGATATGTTGTATCTGGCAGCGTCAGCTTTCCACTGAAAGTTGAATCACTCGATTCCGTAGCTTAACGAGTGAGCTATGGCGTTTGGCGCACTGGGGGGTAATCTGTCCTAGGAGAAGTTGACAGTCCTCAGAGTCACTATAATTGAAGCTTACAAGATCAGAGGCATGATAGAAAAGGCATTGAAGCACAGTTGGAAGGTGGGGTAGGAAGGGAAGGATGAAAGGAAAGGACCCTGGAGGCCCATGGTCAAGAACATGACAAGAGTCAAAGTTTTGACTCCCCATCCTCAGGTTCAGCCAGCCTGGCAAGACAAAATTCACACTGTGCCAGGTTGGCCTCCAAACCCCAAATGCTGCAGCTGCAAGGTGGGGACAAAAGTCCCACACATGCTGGTCCCTCCTCGTTATAGGGCTCTCCAACTTTGGTGTAGCAGCTGACAAGGACTTCCAATGAATTGTAACAAATCCATCAAACATTTCTTCGTAACTTCTTCATATGTGCTCCGATTCCAACAATTCTTGGCTCGTTGGAATGTGCTCGATGTCATGCACAATCCAAGCACATCTGCACAAGCACAAGATGAACATGCAAAGACATGCAAACCCAACAAACCATACAAACAACGTAGCACACAAAACACATGCAAACGAAATGATGCGAACAGACGATAGGATGACGTGCAAATGAATATGCACCAACAGCTCCCGCAGGTAAAGTCCCTCTTTGGTCGCAGAGCAGAGAGCGATGTATTCCGCTTCAGCCGAAGATAGCGCGATTAATTCCTGCTTGCTCGATTGCTAGGAAATAGTCCCGATAGGCTCTAGTCGGTAGATGTAGCCTGTTCTAGAGCGCCGATTTTCCTTGTCTCCCGCGTGGTCGGCGTCGACATAGCCGAGTAGTTGAACAGCCGTTGGTGTTACTTTGGTGTACGTGAGTCCGACTGTCGGCGTAGAGACGAAGTAGAGCAGTGCCCGATTCAGCTTTTCGAGATGCTCTTTCTCCGGCTGCTTTAGGTGTATCGCTAGCTGGCTAGCGCTATAGGACAGATCCGGTCGGCATGTTACTGCTGCGAACAGGAGGCAGCCGAGCTTCTGTTGGTATTCCTGGATTTGCTTAGTGGGGAGCTTCGCGGAGGTGTCGCTGTTGACATTCCCGTAGCGATAGGGAGTTGCGGCTGCGATCGGCATTAGTCTGAATTTCTTCGCGACGACGCCTGCGTACTTTCTGGCGTGTAGGTAGAACGCCGAATCGTCTTCGACGACGTTCAGCGCTAGATACAGGGTGACAGTGTCTGACACTGTGAGTGTTAAGTCACTCTTCAGCTCCCCTTCGAACCAGGTGACGACGTCGGTAGTGGAGCCGACGTAGAGCAGGTCATCGACGTAGACGATGAGTAGGACGAAATCGTTCCCCTTCTGCAGTCGGTACATCCCTTGGTCGTGCGGCAGCTGCAGGAAGCCGATCCTGATGAGGCGGCCGTGAAGGTGCTGCTGCTAGAGCCGCAGGGCTTGTTTGATTCCATAGAGGGATTTTATCAGCTGGCACACTTTTGTGGGATCGTCGATGAAACCGTGGGGCTGCTCAACGAAGATCTCAGTGTCCACAGGTGCGTACAAGAAGGCATTGGCGACGTCGATCTGCCGCAGTGGCAACTTTTTCGTGGCCGCGACGGCGAGCAGAATGCGCAGGGAGGTATGTCGGGAGACTGGGGCGAATGTCTTTGTGTGGTCGATTCCGTATCGCTGATCGAATCCTCGTACGACCCAGCGAGCCTTGAAGCGGTCGATGGAGCCATCCGCATTAGTCTTCATGCGGTACACCCATTTCCCCGAGAGCACATTCCGCCCGTTGGTCTTTGTTGCAGGGACTAGTTTCCATGTGTTTCGGTCTTGCAGGGCCTTCAATTCCCTTTCCATTGCTTCCTTCCATTTCGCCTTGTGTTCCCCCCCCTGAGCCAACGACAGAGGTATTGGCTCGCGCGGTGACGGCGGCGGCGGGCTCTAGACGGCGACCCATAGTCCAAGTTTCTGCAGGCCCGTGGGTGTGTGTCGAGGGGAATTGTCATTCGCGGGATAAGTTGCTTCGTCACGATCTTCGGGATCAGGTAAGAAGCTTGGGTCCGATGCGTTCAGAGACATTTGTGTCTACCGGTTTAGGTGTAGCATAACCTTGGTCAGCGAAGTGGTAGAAGGTGTCGAGGTTGTTACTATCGAGAGGGTTGTCGTCGTCAAGTGGAACGGGCACGGAGCAGTAAGGGAGTGGTCCGGTAGCTTTCAAGGCTTCAGGTACATCTTCTTCTACTGCGTCAACTTCGGCAGCACGGTCGGCGAAGGAGCGATGGCCATCGAAGCCGTCGGTGGGGTCTGCGGTGTTGGCGACGTTGTCCAGGTAGTGCTGCAGCGTCAGTCTCTCGTAGAAAATCACATCACGTGAGGCCACGGTGGTTTTGTGCTGGATGTCGAGAAGTTTCCATGTGTGAAAATGTTTTGTGATGCTGAAGCGTAGTCCCCACCGTGCTCGTTGAGAAAATCATCCTGCTCGGGCTGTGTGGGGTCGGTACTGTACCATGCAGCCGAAGACTCGAAGTAATTTTGTGCTGCCCAGTTTTCCTGTCCACAGCAGGTGTGGTGAAACGTTGTTGGGAAGTGATGACGAGGACAGCAAGTTGTGGAGGTGGACTGCATGCGTCATCGCGTCAGGCGAAAGGGTGTTGGGCAGTCTCATCCCCAGGAGCAGCGTCCGCATCGTCGTCTGCAAGGTGCGGTTCATCCTCTCTGCGACCCCTTGCTGCTGGTGGGCGTAGGGCAGGGACACCAGGTGTTTGATGCCTCTTTCTGCCAAGTAGCTCCTGAACCTTTGTGACTGATACTCCAGTGCCCCATCTGACTGGAAACTCTTGAGTTGGGAGCCCGATTCTCGTTCACCGATGGGGAGCCACATCGTGAAGGCTTCGAACGCTTGGTCACGAGTCTTGAGGTTGAAGTGCCAGACGTATCGTGTGGCTGCATCGATGAACGTGATGACGTAGTTGTACTCTGCTTCACTGTCGTCTCGAGGCATGTTCAAAATATCGCTGTAAACTTTTTCCATCGGTGCGTATGCAGGTGCGCTTGGATTGTGGTGGGACGGGAAAGGTTGATGGGGAAGATCAGCTTCGAGGCACGTGAAGCATCGTGCGCGAGGTCGTTGAAGCTCCTGGCCGTTTATTGTGAGGAGAGCGTCCTTTTCTAATACTCCAGCTTGTATGGTTTGAAGAATGGTGCTGTTTGCAGGGTGCCCAAGTCGTTGATGCCAGATGTCGTCGGGAGCGCGATGTCCGGGAGAACGCTGGTACAGGTCGGCAATGGAGAAGAACCCGACGACCGTAGCGGGACTGCGGCAGACTCCTCCGGTGATGGGCATGAGCTGATCTGCTGCGGTTGGTGGTCCTCGGATTTCTGGTGATGGCACACGGCTTGGTCCTGCTGCTGCTACTACAGGTGATGTCTGAGAAGGGATACTTTCTGGTACTTGTCGTTCTTGTCGAATGACTGCTAATGCTCATGTTCTCGCTCCTGCAGGGATGGTGTTGGAGAACCAGAACCCGCCTGGACTGAAGTCGGGGTCAAGATCGGGCGGGTGTGTCCAGGCGGCGAACGACACGATGGCGTCGCTGTCGGCAGTACTATGGTCGGGGACGAAGTCCAGCACGAAGATGCCCGACTTCGGGAGAGCGCGACCGATGAAGAGGCCGTCCTTCGCCTGATAAAGACGAAACTCGTTGGCGTCCGAGTTGCATTCTAGGTGAATTCCTTTTGCCATTAACTGGCTGACACTTCATAAATTGTATCCCAGATTGTCGACGATGAGAACTTTATTGAGTTGCAGTATGACATTTGTCTCCATTGATTGAAGCTGAACGACTCCTTGTCTGTTTGTCTTCAGGTTTTCATTGTTGGCAACGGTGATGATGATGTCGCGGTTGAGGCGTCGTTCTTGTTGCACGAAGCGCCCTGAGGAACACATGTGTTGACCGCAACAACTGTTCAGGAACCAGGTGTTTCGCCCGGTGGATTCGGCCTTGGCAACTGCAGCATACGTGGGGTTGATATGAAGACCGTAGCCCTGGAAGGACCTGAGAGTCTTGGCGTTGTTTGCCCAAGAAGCGTCGGTGTGCCTGGTAAGGACCACTGGTCTGCGTCCTCCTAGCACTAGCCCCATGCCCGATGTAACTGCTAGATAACGCAGAACCCTCTTAGCCGCAGACCCCTGCTGTGGTCGGTGTCTGCCAGAGGCCACAAAGCGGGTCAGGATGCTGAAAGAGTATGGGAGATCTGGACGAGTACAAGTCATCAGGTACATGACGCAACCCACCAGATTTGCGTAAGAACCACTAGGCTCTACAGCCTCCTCCGGGACTGGAGCAGAGAGTCTGTGGTCTAATAGTAGAAGGGTGGGCTGTGTGGAAGAGAACTTAAGGCTGAACCTCTGAAGGACCTGGCGCACCAAGTGTGACTGTGTGAGAGTGATGGTGCGTGCTGCTCTGTCCCTGGAGATCTGCAAGCCAAGGTGTTAGAATATACCATGCTATGCTAGTTGTGTATATTGTGTTTACATCCCTAGTTGGGTGTACACCTGTGTTGGGGTGTCAATCCAACCCAATTGTGGTTGGAGCCCCCAAACACAAGGACCACAATTGTGGGGGCACCACAAGTGGGTTGGCTAAACCACTGGTGGTACACCACACTTGGACCTCCAACTGGTGGTCAACCACATTTGGAAGGATCCTCCCTCCCTTGTGATTGGTCCTAACCCCCCTTTCCATTCCAACCTTCCCTTCCTAGCTCATCTCTCTCTTCCTATGTAATGCCTTTGCTTCATCAATAAACTGAACCTTTCTGTTTCTAACATGGTATAGAGCAATAATGGCTCACGCCAACTTTTAAATCCCGATCCTTCCCCACGCTTCCGCCCCGTCCCCTTCCGACGTGCACCTCATTGCCGTCCCCTCCATCGCCGCTGCTAGACTCCTAGCCGCCGCCTCTCAACTAGTTTTCTGTTGGGTGGATTTTCAAAAAACCCCAATGCGCCAAACGCCATAGCTCGCTCGATAGTTGACAGAATTGAGTGATTCGACTTGCAAAAGAACGCTCTTGGTGTCAGCTACAACGTCGTAACATTTCGGACTGTTTTATCGCTTGGATTGTCAGATATCGCTTTCCGAAGTTTGCACACTTTCTTGGATGTGATCACGAAGTGCTACTGAAATTTCTACCAAGTCCTATTTTCATCAGCTAACTGCCATCTTTCCCCATCTTTTGCCTCCTCACCTGCACCTGCTCATCGCCGCCTTACCACTGCTGCAGCCGTAGCAGCAGCAGCAGAAGCAGCAGCAGCACCAGAAGGAGCAGCAGACTCAGCAGCAGCAGCTGAAGGAGCAGCAGCAGCAGCAGCAGCAGCAACAGCGGCAGCAGCAGCAGTGGCAGCAGCAGCAGCGGCAGCAGCAGCAACAGCAACAGCAGCAGCAGCAGCAGCAGAAGGAGCAGCAGCAGCAGCAGCAGCAGCAGCAGCAGCAGCAGCAGCAGCAGCAGCAGCAGCAGCAGCAGCAGCAGCAGTATCTACAGCCATCCCCATCCTCCCCTCCTCTTTGAGCCGCCGCAGGTCCACCCGCCGCCGCTCCCTCCCGGCCACCGCGGGTCTACCCGCCGTCGCCTTCCTCCCACTCCGTGTCACCAATGGCATCCTTTCCCCCTCCCGTCGACGTCTCGACCCTCGATCATCTCGTGCGCGCTGCCGACAACTCAGCAACCAACTGGTATTCCTTTGTCGGCAGCCTCCACCGCGTCCTCGGCAGTGCTTATGTCCTGCCGTTCCGCCTCCTGGACATCATGCTTGGTCTCCCAGAGGGTGACCTTGGGGACCCGCCGCCTTATCCTGGCGATCCCCCCCCTCTCATTCCCCATCCCGGCGAGGAACCTCCGCCCCCCATGGTACCCGTTGGCACCAGCACTCGCGCTGCCACCGCTGAAGTTGAGCAGCTCTTCCTTACTCAGCATCGTGAGTTCCTTGTGCTCCATACTGATTACCTGATAGCGTTGGAGGAACACAAGCGGTTGGCAACCCTCCGCACCTAGCATGCCGCTACCGCCGCCGCTTATGCCTCTGACTCTGCGCGATTTGCTGAGCGTCGTCGCGCCTGGCTCAAGGCGGACAGCCGTGCTACTGGTGCCCTTCTCCTTGCCATCCCGTCTGCGCTCATGTGCAACTTCCAGGCACGTCGCATCGGCTCCCGCCAGATCTGGCTCGAGCTTGAGGCAATGTTCGAACGCACCGACTTCGATGCTGTCGGACCGCTCTTCAAGGAATACTTCAGCATCACGATCGAACATAGTGCTGGCGCCATTGACTACACCAGCCGTCTCCTGGACCTTGCTTCCCGCCTTGAGGCTCGCCAGACTACTCTCCCCCCCAACCTTCAGATCTACCGTCTCCTCGAAGGCCTCTCCCCTCAATATGAAGTGCGCGTCATCGCCTTCACTGAGGCTCAGCCCCGCGCCTCCCTTGACACTGTGGTCCAATGGATCATTAACGCTGAGGCCCGCCTTCTCTCAACCCCCCCCTCCGGCCTGAACTCCACCGAGTCCCAAAACCCCCAGCTTGCAGTCACACAGCCGCGTCGTGGCGGGCGCCCACGTGGCGGCCGCACCAACCCTCAGGGAGGGGGTGGAGGTGGCGGTTGTGGGGGCAGCGGAGCCGGCGGCGGTGGTGGCGGGGTCGAGGGTGGCAGCAGTGGTGGTGGTGGAGGCAGTGATGGCTCATCTGGTAGCCGTGCTGGCCGGCCTGGCACTCTCCCCCCATGTTCCTATCTTCGCCGTTTTGGTCCCAGGGCAGGTGAGCGCTGCACCCAAACCAACCATCCCCCCGCGACCTGCTTCAAGGCGTATGATGACGCCTGGTTCGAGCGCGGCAACACTGGCACACCCCCACGCTGGTCTGCCATGGATCCCCGCCCCTCTCTCCAGGATGTCAAAACTCTTCCGTCTTTCCTCCCCTCTCATCTTCAGCTCTCCTCCTCCTCCTCCTCTGTCGCTGACCCCATAACTCCCCAGGAGCTGCAGCAGTTTCGCCGCTTCCAGCAGCTGCAGCTGCTGCAGCAGCAGCAGCAATGGGGCTCTGGTGGTCAGGCTGCAGCCGCAGCTGCAGGAGCCGCAGCTGCAGGAGCCGCAGCCGCAGCATCTGCATGGCAGCAGCAGCAGCTTGGCTTTGGCACCGCCGCCATGGCTGCCACAGTCACACCAGGTCCTCCTGGCTTTCCCCTCTGGGGCTCTCCTTCCCCTAGTGCTCCCGCCTCCCACTCCAGCTTTCTAGGCGAGCTCATGCGTTCTTCCCCTGCTTCCACTTCCATGTATCCCTCTGTTTTTAATGCCAGTGATTTCCAGTACCCCGTGTCTTCAGCTCCCTCCTCGCTCACGATTGACTTTGTTCTCGATAGTGGTGCCACTGAAACTGCCCTCAAAGACGCCGGCACCCTCACCTCCCTCCCTTTCCCCACCAACGTTCATGGTGCTGATTCCAGCTTCTCCATCCCTTGCACTCATCTCTCCACCCTCCCCTGCCCCCCCTTCCCCTCTGGAGTGGTCACTGGTCTCCACATTCCCTCCCTTCGTCATAACCTGCTCTCCATTCGTGAACTCCAACAGGCTGGCATCACTACCCTCTTCCCCGCCTCTGCCACCTACTGTGACCTCCTCCACGGCCCCACTCGCCGCCTCCTTCATCGCCTCCCACTTTGCCCTCGCTCTCGTCAGTACATCCTCCGCACACCCCGCCCCTCCTCATGCCACGTGACCACTCGTGCAGGCACCTCCACTCTCCCCCCTCCCCTCCCTCTAGAGCCACCTTCCTCCAACTCCACCTCCTCCCCATGCTCTTGTCGCGCACTGTCCCACCCCGCTGTTCTCATCCACCACCGCCTTGGTCATATGAACTTTCCCACACTTCGTAAAGCCGTCTCCTCCCGCTTGCTTGACGGTCTTCCCTCCACTCTTCCTCCCCTCCCGTCCTCTTCCGCTCCCCCATGCGCCACATGCATTCATGGAAAGCTCAAACAACAGCCTCACCTCAGTCATCCTTCCTTTGCTGCTGCCCCCCTGGACCTCTGGGGCCCTAACCCTTCCCCTTCCCGCCAAGGGCACCGGTACATGCTTGTCCTAGTCGACGACCACAGCAGGTACTCCTCGGTGTTCCTCCTCCACACGAAGGCCGAGGCCCCTGCTGTCATCGTTACCTGGGCCGAGCAGTGCCGAGTCCACTTTGGTCGCCCCATCCGCCGCCTCCATTCCGACGGCGGTGGTGAGTTTCTCAACCGCACCCTCTCCTCCTACTGCTCAACCCATGGCATCCAGCAGACTCATACCCTTCCCCACTCCCCTCAGCAGAATGGTGTTGCTGAGAGTCGCATTCGTGAGATCACCAAGACGGCCCGCTGCCTCCTCACTCATGCCTCCACGCCCCCTTCTCTTTGGGGATATGCCCTTGTCCATGCTGCTCTCCTTACTAATCTTTGCCCACATCCTCAACGCCAGTCTGTCACTCCCACTGAGCTCTGGGCTAGCACCAAGCCAGATGCTGCCATTCTCCGTATCTGGGGTTGCAAGGCATATGTCCTCATCCCCCCACCTGACCGCTCTCGGCAGGCAGGAAAGCTCGCCTCCAAGGCCATTGAGTGTGTCTACCTTGGCCACGCTCGCTCTGCCCCTGGTTACCTCTTCCTTCACCCGTCCTCAGGCCGCCTCCTACAGAGCCGTGACGTGGTGTTCGATGAGAGCATCCCGTTCTATCATTCTGTTCCGCCTTCCGACCCCCTTCTTCGTCTCTCCCGCCCCCTCACCTGGGCTGATGCTGTCATTCCCCCACTCCTTCCCCAGGCTCCCCTCCTTCCTCCAAATCCTGCTCCTCCCCCTCCTCCTTCCTCAGGTGACATTTACGACCCAGCTGTCCCTGACTCCCCTGCTCACTCTGCCTCATCGCACCAGCACCAGCAGCAGCAGCAGCAGCAGCAGCAACAGCAGCAGAAGGAGCAGCAGCAGCAGCAGCAGCAACAGCAGCAGCAGCAGGTGCAGCAGCAGCAGCGGATGGAGCAGCAGCAGCAGCAGCAGCAGCAGCAGCAGGAGGTGCAGCAGCGGATGGAGCAGCAGCAGCAGCAGCAGCAGCAGCAGCAACCGCAGGCAGTGCAGCACCAGCAGCCGCAGCAGGAGGTGCAGCAGCAGCACCAGCAGCAGCCACAGCAGCAGCAGCAGCAGCAGCAGCAGCCACTGCAGCAACCTCATCGGCATCGCCGCACCACCTCTCCGTTCATCCTCCCACGCATCCACACTCGCTCTCACGGCCCACTCATAGGCCATCCATGAGGTTGGCCAACACCACCCCCACCCTCCCTTCCCTTCATTGAGGACTCCCATGAGGAGCTCATTGGCGTTCAGCAACAAACACCTTCCCTCACGCCTCTCTACCCGGGCTTCCTTGGCCTCCTCATCCTTGGCATCGCTACCGCTCCCACCAGATTCACTCCGTCCAACTTCCTTGAGGCCATCACCTGCCCCGATGCTGCCAAGTGGATCCAGGCTATCTTTGCTGAATGCGAGGCCTTCATCCGCAATGCCTCATTTGTTAACATTGTCCCCTCTCCTGACGACGTCATTGTTGAAGGCCTGTGGGTGTTCCGAGTGAAGCAGCTGCCGGGTGAGGAGCCGGTCTACAAGGCCCGGTATTGTGCCAAGGGCTTCACCCAAACCCATGGCATCGACTACTGGGAGACATTCTCTCCCACTGCCAAGCTCCCAACTCTGCGTGCCATCCTCGACTATGCTGTTCGCATTGGCATGGAGATTGCCTCCATGGATGTCTCCAACGCCTTCCTGCAAGGCGAGCTCCAGGAGCGGGTCCTCTTGCGGCGGCCTCCAGGCTTTCATGCAGCCTTCCCTGCCAACACAGTCTGGGAGCTGCGCCGCCCGGTTTATGGCCTCAAGCAGGCTCCTCGCGAGTGGCACAACAAGCTGGCCGCCACTCTGCAGTCCTTGGGGTTCCATGCCTCTCAGTCTGATGCCAGCCTTTTCCTTCGCTCCTCTCCCACCCGCTTCTTCATCCTGGTGTATGTCGACGACATGATCCTGTTCGCTGACGATGCTGCCGCCATGCAGCAAGTGAAGGACGCCCTGCATGCGCGCCTCAAGTGCAAGGACCTGGGTGAGCTCAAGCACTATCTGGGCATGACCATCACCCGGGACCGCACATCGCGCACCATTACCCTCTCTCAGTCCTTCTACATCGACCAAGTCTTGCAGCGGTTCGACATGGCGCAGGCCAAGCCGGTTACCACTCCCCTGCAGACCGACCACCAGCTTGCCCCTCCTCCTGCTCCCTCCTCCTCTGACCATCCTTACGCTGAGCTCGTCGGCTCACTGATGTACGCTATGATGTGCACCCGCCCCGACCTTGCCTACCCCATCAGTGTTCTTGCTCGATTCGTCGGTACCGGTCGCCACACTGATGAGCACTGGGCTGCAGCGAAGCGGGTCCTCCGCTACCTCCGTGGTACCAAGGACTATGTCCTCACCCTCGGAGGCTCTTCTCCTCCCCTCCTCTCTGGCTTCAGTGACTCCTCCTGGGCTGACTCCCAGCCGGATCGCCGTTCCTCTCAAGGCTACGGCTTCACCCTTGGCAGCGGCCTCATCAGCTGGCGCTCCACTCGCTCCTCCTCCATCGCCCTCTCATCATGCGAGGCTGAGCTCTATGCTTGCACCATGGCCGCTCAGGAGGCTCGCTGGCTCACCTTCCTCCTTGCTGAGATCGGTGCTCCTCAGCGCTGTCCCACCCTCTGGTGCGACAACGCCAGCACCATCCATCTCACAAAGGACCCTGTCTTCCATGGCCGCTCCAAGCACATTGAACTCCGCTACTTCTTCGTTCGAGAGTTGGTCCAGCAAGGTCACTTGGTGGTCCGCAAGATCGCTGCAGAGGCCAACTTGGCCGACATCTTCACCAAGGCCCTCCCGAAGACCGCGCACTCTGCCCTCCTCCGCCTTCTCGGCCTTGGGCCCCGCCCCCCTTCCTGATTCTGGGGTTGTACCCTACATATACACTAGCTTTGCATGCTATGGGGTTGTGTTAGAATATACCATGCTATGCTAGTTGTGTATATTGTGTTTACATCCCTAGTTGGGTGTACACCTGTGTTGGGGTGTCAATCCAACCCAATTGTGGTTGGAGCCCCCAAACACAAGGACCACAATTGTGGGGGCACCACAAGTGGGTTGGCTAAACCACTGGTGGTACACCACACTTGGATCACCTCCAACTGGTGGTCAACCACATTTGGAAGGATCCTCCCTCCCTTGTGATTGGTCCTAACCCCCCTTTCCCTTCCAACCTTCCCTTCCTAGCTCATCTCTCTCTTCCTATGTAATGCCTTTGCTTCATCAATAAACTGAACCTTTCTGTTTCTAACACAAGGTAG